ACCTCCCTCCTCCACCATTTCATGGCCCCGACTACATGGAGGACCAGTAGGCAGTGGCCCTTGTAGTTTTATAGCAATCAGTGTTTTAATCTTATCTAATTCATTTTAAATGTTAAAAAATGTTGCTTTTATCTGTCAAAATATATTAGCCCTTTCAGATTAAAATGTGCTCTGGGAACCCTGTTCTCATCTTCTTCCTGCTTCTACTCCATCCCAGCGCTGCACACCATTGTGGAACTGAACCTAGAATTTAAAACTCTTTGTGTGACTAATTTGAGTTTATCTGTCTCATCTTCTGATCTCAGTGTTGAGACTTACTGAGACTCTTTCTATGATTTTCTTTGAAATGGCCTTAGGTAGAAATCATAACTTTGTGGATATAAGCTAGCATAAAGTCTTTTATTCCCTCTCAACAATTCAAAGTCAAGCCTCACTCTTTTCCATGGTATTCTTAACATTGTACTGCTGCAATTTCCAAATGAAACTTTTATATCTATCAGCAAAACATATCTCCAGAAAATAGACATCTGTTTACTATTGCTAGAAACCATTGTAAAAAGGTTTTGTGTTTGACATCTTCAAATTTCTTTAATAGTATCAGAAATAAGGGCAGCTCTGTTATTCCACCTCTCTTGTATGGTTCAGACTTTGTCACCTCACCTAAATACAAAGCTGAATTGTTTGCTAAAAACTTTTCATCAATATTATCTCTTGATTCCACTAGTTGCATTCTACCTGAAATAGCAGACAACTTTATTCTCAGCCTTCCATCTAAAGTGATTTCCTGCTTAAACTCTTCTAGAGCTTGTGGTCTGGACAACATTCTTGTTTCAGTCTTGCAAAAGTGTTCTCCAGAGCTATTGCCTATACTTTCAAAACTATTTAACAAGTGTTTATTAGAGTCTCAATTTCCAGTCTGCTGGAAAGCGACATCTGTTATCCCTATTTTCAAAAATTCTGGAGAGTGATTTGACTTGTCTAACTACTGTTCCATTAGTCTTCTTCCAATCATAAGTAAGGTTTTTGAATCTTTAATTAACAAACACTATCCTCTCATCTTGAATCTAATAACTTACTTTCTGATCATCAACATGGATTTTGACTTTCTCATTCTACAGCTGATTTGCTAATAGTAATAACTGATAGGTTTTATCATGCATTAGATAGAGGTGGAGAGGTTAAACCCATTGCTCTTGACTTTCTTCTTACAGTGTATCAGGTAACATCTATAAGATTATTGAATCCTTCTTTTCCAATCATTCAGCCAACCTTCAACCATTATTACATCGTAGTAATATCGCTTCTCTTTCTCTTTTCTACAAATACTATAATGGGCACTGCTAAGAGCTAGCGTCTCTTGTGCCATCAACTAAAATTCATTTTGGTGTTACTTGTCATCCAACTAAGTCTCATCCTTTAACTTTGAGTGTTCTTAAGTGATCAAAAAACTCTTATTCATCTAGTTTTTTTCCTCAAACATCAGTTCTTTGGAATTTGCATCCTTCATCTTGCTTTCCCAATTTTTTACAAGAAGATGTGTGATTGCTCAGCTTTATATGACCAGACAAATTACATTTTGCTTTGACGATTTGACCGCGGCTATTTAAAAAAACATTGTAAAAATGCGCTAAATGAAAAATATTTTAAATTGAAATAAATTACATCAAAACTTTTAAAAAATATTTTTATATTAGCAAAATGCTTTTAAATAAAGGAACAATTTACTTATGTTTTTTTTAAAAGTATAATTAATAGTTGTATATATTTTTTTAATTTATAATATATAAATTGTTTAAGTTGCATTTTTTATAAAATATGTTATTAAAAAATAAAAAATTATTTTGTTTATTGTTTATTATTAAAAACAAATACTGTTTTGTTTATTTTACTACTTTTATTTATTAAAATTTGTATTTTTTTAATAAATAATAGTAAGTATTCAAAGTACAAATGTTAAAACAAAGAATGAAATGGTTTTTCAATTTGTAAATTAAATAGACTAGGCATTTTAGTTTGATGAGTTTTGTTTTAGTTGGGATATATATATATAAAACACAACTAAAACAAAACTCATCAAACTTCACCTCGTCAAAAGCCATTGTCAAATCGCCAAAACAAATTACTTTTTGCGTGGTCATATAATTTGCTTATAACTTCCAATTCTAATAGTGGTTGCTTGCAGCCTTGTTGGAAGCAAAGATGATGAAAAAAAAAAGTTTTATTTTATAATTAATTGTACTTTAATTATTATTACCTGTTAAAAACAAAGTGGTTACATTTATCAAAAAATTTATTTTTTAATTTAATAATAGAATTATTATAATAGTTATATAGATTAAAATAAACAATGACAAGGTAATGACAAATTATTTGTATACATTTGAAAAAGTATTTGTTAAATTATATAACAAATGTTTAATTTATAATATTCTTATATAACTTGTTTTAGCTCCTAGACTAGCCAATAACTTATAGGCTAACAATTAGTAAAAGTAACTTATAGGCTAACATAAGTTAAAGGTTATAATATCTTAAATAAGAAGATTATGAATAAAGTTATCCATGATATAGAATATATCGTGTATTTAATTTATATAGAATGTATAACTTATAGAAGATGTTTTTTTATAGCTTTTTTATTCTTTAGTCATATGTGGCGTTTTTTGAGTAGTCAAATTTGTGAATAGTTTGTATTTTATTTTGAATCTTTCTGTATTTAGATAAGGTTGAGCAACTGGAAGATCCATAGAAGTAACCCAATCACATTATAAACAACTCTAACATTCTTCTGACATATGATTCACAGATACTTGTAAATCTGGTAATGTTGACTCAGAATCTGCAGCTGATTTGATCTTGTGTTGACTAGATTCTAGATAGACTCTTAGTTCACAGATTGTTTAACAGTAGCTCTTATTCTGCATACCACTCTTTTTCCACGCATTGCTGCAAAAAAAAGCTAGTAAGATGTTTTTTGGAAATGTTTTTCAAACACAATCATTGCAGCCATAAGGTTTTTGTTTTAAATTGAGAAGTGATACTTCTTTGACTCTATTAAGTGCAGAAGTGTGAGCTTCTTTGACTTTATTGAGTGTAAAAGTCTGTCCTTCTCTTGCTGTTAAAAATAAAGTGAAGTATTTTGATAAGGACTAAAGGATGATCAGTTAAATTGAAAGCTACAACAAATGTTTCTAATTTCAGAGTATAATACAGAACATAAGTGACAAACCAAAGTTTGCTTGTTTTTCCATTAGACAATTTAAACTTCATTTTCATTAACAACTGCTTAAAAACATCTTTTGAGAAGTCCAAGAAAGCTTTGAACATGCTAAAAGTGGACATGGATTTTCTCTACAAAAAGAACTAATTAAAAAAATTCAATTTCATTTTTTTTTTTTGATTGAATAAAATTGGTTTTATTCAATCAATTTTAAAATTTTTTCGAACGCTTTTGATTATGATTTCTTTGAGATTAATTTATAAGTTTTCTTTTCAGAACACAACTTTTTTTATATTCTTAGTTATGCTTCAGAACTTTTTACGAGTTGCCTTTTCAGTTTTTGCCATACTTCTTAGATTTTACTCTCAAAATTTTTTTCTTTCCTTCAGGACTTCAAAAAAATTGATTAGATTGATATTCTGCATAACATTTTCTTGCTTTAATTTTGAATCCATTTCTTAAAAGGTATATACAATATTTGAATACTTCACAAATATTTAATGATTGCATTTTACAACTTTAAAATGCATAGAAAAACTTAATCAATAGAAAACCACAAGGATACATAAATTTAGAAAAAAAAATATTTGATTGACTTAAATTTTTAACACAATCATTTTTAAAACAATAATTATCAATTATTAACAATAATTTGCCTGATTTCAGCGATTCAACAGTTTTTAAACTATAATTACAAGTTAATCTAATGAGATTTAAATTATTTTTTTTTGCCAAATAACAGTAAATTTTTTTTTATTAAAGAATTTCTAACAAATCCCACCTAATAATTAGTTTCAAATTTATAATAAAACATATTTATCTTTAAGTTACACAACCTTATTTTTGCAGATGTATATGTGAAAAACAAAGCATTTATATTAATTTAAAAATCCTCAAATTTTTCATTTAAGTCATATATTTCATTTCAAAAAACCTTTTTAAATACAAATATGGTTTTATTTTGTTACAAATGTAGCAAAATATGGCCTCAAGTTTCGGTCACTTTTTCAAATTAAAAAGAGAAAAAAACTGCAAACATTGAGGAAACTTAATTCCCTCAGTTCAAATATTTTCTACACAAAACTTGTTTTAACAGATGTTTCAAGGTTTTTTTAAATATAATTAAAGAAAAAACGTTTTATAAAAAAACAATTTTTCAAACACTAAATTCATCTCTTCTATCCTGGAAATAACCATATATATAGGGCTTAATATGATAATAACAACGATAACTATAATAACAATAATAATAATAATAACAATAATAATAATAATAATAATAATAATAATAATAATAATAATAATAATAATAATAATAATAATAGCAATAATAATAATAGTAATAATAACAATAATAACAATAAGGTAATGCGTAAAAAAGGCAACAGCGTCCCAGAGTAAATATTTTATTTTAGTTTTTCAATGTGCTCTTTTACGTCAAATGTAGGAGGCTAGTCTTTATTGTATTAGGCTTACCTGCAGCCATATATGGCTGCAGGTAAGCATATATAGCATCAATAGGAATAAAAAAATCTGCGAATTTTCTTTTACTTTTTTATTGTAATGATCAACTTTTTCTTTGGAATCAACTTTCACAGGGTGAAAATTTGATCGGCAGTATTCTATTACAAACATTTCTGCATCATTGAAATCTTTAAAACTTATTGTTAAAATATCTTCCATTTTTGTATAATGCGAACTGTGAAATCGAAAGTAAATTTATTGTAAAATAATATTTACGATAAATTTACTTTCGTTTTCGCATGTTACAACAATGGAAGATATATTAACAAAAAGTTTTGAAGATTTCAATGATGCAGAAATGTCTGTAATAGAATACTGCGGATCAAATTTTCACCCTGTGAAAGTTGATTCCAAAGAAAAAGTATATATATATGTATATATAAATATATATATATATATATATATATATATATATATATATATATATATATATATATATATATATATATATATATATATATATATATATATATATATATATATATATATATATATATATATATATATATATATATGTATATATATATATATATATATGTATATATATATATATATATATATATATGTATATATATATATATATATATAAATAAAAGCAAAGATATTCTAAAACAATAAACTATATGTAGACAATATGTAAACTTATCATTTGTTTATAGTTTAATGCTATAATTGACGTGTCTAATCAAATTGAGATAAAATAAAGATATTACAAGACAATGAACGACATATGTTACTTTTACATAAGTTTAAAAAAAGTCATATCATATACACTTTCACAAATATCTTGATGTAAAGAGATCATCTTTTTTATTTCAAAAAGCATTTACAAAAAGTATTAAGGTAAAGTTTATTATAATATTTTATTTTTTACATATTATTTATAAAAAATATAAATATAAAGACGTTATAAGACAATAAATTATATGTAAACAATATGTTCACTTATATTTTATTTAGAGTTTAATGCTATTATTGATATGTCTTGTCCGATTGGTATGTGCTAAATTGTTTAATCTTGAGTTAACATAATACTATTTACATTTAAACACACTAAGACACACATGCACAGCCTCACACACACTCAGACATACATACATACATACATACATACATACATACATACATACATACATACATACATACATACATACATACATACATACATACATACAATATACATAATACATACATACATACATACATACATACATACATACATACATACATACATACATACATACATACATACATACATACATACATACATACATACATACATACATACATACATACATACATACATACATACATACATACATACATACATACATACATGCATGCATCCATAAATACATACATACATACATACATACATACATACATACATACATACATACATACATACATACATACATACATACATAAATACATACATACATACATACATACATACATACATACATACATACATACATACATACATACATACATACATACATACATACATTCATACATACATACATACATACATACATACATACATGCATACATACATACATACATACATACATACATGCATGCATGCATGCATGCATGCATGCATGCATGCATGCATGCATGCATACATACATACATACATATATATATACATATATATATATATATATATATATATATATATATATATATATATATATATATATATATATATATATATATATATATATATATACATATATATATATTTATATATATATATATATATATATATATATATATATATATATATATATATATATATTTGAACATAAAAAATATGTGCTAAACATGTTATATGCCACATGCTTAATGTAATCATAGCTAAAGATAATAATAGGTTTCAATATATATAAGATTTTAATAAATAAGCTATTGTATTACAAAATTTATGTATAAACAAGACACTCGAATGACAAATATATCTTCTTGGTGTGTTTACATTGAAGGTTTATTTTTATTATGAGTTACAGACACACACCAACACACACAAACACACACACACAAATACATTACATTATGTTATCACCACATAGGAATAAGGTTGCTTTTTGAACATATTTATGATTATTTTTTTTTTTACATTTTTTTAGACAATCAAAACACTATTGATGGTTTGCCTTTATTCCTTTCACATGGTTTTATTAACGAAATAGGTTACAATGAACTGATTTTGTGTGAAGTAAGTGTGCTTAACCAATTATTTTTAACATGTTTAACTTTTTTGTTTACAGTGAATTTGTTAACCAGAAGACTCCGATACCAAATATTATTGTAATAAAAATATTTACTGTTAAAGCATGAAATAAATTATTAAAAGATTAACAGTTGTTAAGTTAAGGTAGATAAAGATTCACATATACTCTTTTAAATACATTGTAAAGTACTTTGAAAAAAAAAGGTAAACACTGTAAAAATATAATAATTAGTTTAAACACAGTTCAGTTTATGGAATTTTTTTATAATCTTATAATCTTTTACATAAATATTTATTTTCTTTGATCCAAATGAAAGACTGATATATCTACTTTTTTACAATTTTTACTAAAATTGTGCTGCATATATTACTTTTGATTATAGTATAGTCTTTGGTTCAAACAATGTAATGTTTGGTTATATATATTCTTTAGTTCAAAGAATGTAACAAACTTGAAGCATTTAATTTTAATAGAATACATAGCCTAAAAGACATAGTGCTTATATAAGATATTTATGAATTCTGTCTATTTTTTTGTTCAGATGATGTTTTGTATCTACAAAAGCTTGTACAGTTTGTTTTCAGTTTATTTATTATATAAAGAGGATATGGTTCTTACCCTCATGCTAATTCATACCTACATTTAATATATAAGATTTTTTAAATAAATTTTCTCATCATCTTATAACATAGTGGTAATATGCATATGTTGTTACCTTTTTGAAGTTTTTTTTTTTTGAGGTGTCTAGTTTTAATTTTCTGTGAATAACATGTTTCTATGAAAAAGTTTATCATCGAATTTTTTATATTAAAAAACAAAATTTCAGTTAAATTTGCATCTATTACTAAAAATAAAGTAATGTATGATTTTTGCAACTAAAACAGTAGTGTATGATTTTTGTAACTATTAGTAACTAAAAAAATAGTCATGTATACTTGTTATTTTAGATTGAAAAAACGTATTATTGTAGATTTAAAAAATTTTTTTTAGATATTAAATAAAATCAATTACTTAATACTTAAGGAAATAGGAAGAGGTGCTTATGGAACTGTTCAAAAGGCAATATGGAGAAATCAAATGGTTGCAATAAAAGTTTCAGAAAATCAAAATGATCGTAGAGAATTTAGAGAGGAAGTAAATTTTAGATTTTTTTGTGTGTGGTATGATTAAATATTAAATAAGGTTAGCATTAGGGAACTTTGGTACTGTAGGTACTATAATTTATCCTTTACTTTGTTTTAATTTTACTTTATCATTTACTCATTTTTTTTTTTTAAGGCAAAGCGGTTATCTATTGTGCAGCACATAAACATTATTCAACTATACGGAGCAGTTGTAAATGGACCAAAAGTATAATAGTTATTTTCTAAAAATTGTTCAACCATTGGAGATCTGTTGCTGTTTTATAAATATGTTTTATTCACTATTATCATGTTAAGTTCACAAGTATTTTTAACAATTTTGTTTTTCAAAGCTCTTTATATTATATTAATCTATACCTACATTTTTATGTCACTAAATCAAAAATTATTCAGTTAAATGTTTCTTTAAAAAAAACTCTTGATATAAAATATCAAGATCAGCATATCAGTAAATTGAACTAATGCAATCATTGTTGTTTTCTTTAAAAAGGAAATCACGGATGAGACTTATAACACTTTGTCTCATCAGTGATCTAATAATCAGATATTGTTTTAACAGTTCAAAAATTGTTTATGAAAAAAAGAAATTGAAATTAGTTTCATAAATATCTTGAAATAGAAAATATGCAATAATAATATTAATTATATTACCAATATTTGTATTAGTTTTTATTATTGTATTATCTTAGAGATATTTAAAAAGTTGTGCAACTATTACACAATATTTTTGTTTTCAACAAACATTTTATTTTTTTGCCAAAAAAATTAAGTTATTGATAATAACTATGTTACGCTAATTTAACTTTTAAATTTATTTACCCATAACATTTTTTTTCAAAGCTGTGTTTAGTGATGGAGTTAGCAGAGTGCGGTTCGTTGCATGCTTGTAAGTATTTTACTGTCTTCTGCAAGAAAATTTTTTTTAATATTATATAGATTTTTAATGTGGAGTTTTTTTTCTTAATTTTAAGTGTTGCACCCATCACATGACAATAAAACGTTTCATTATACACTTGCTCATGTGTTAAATTGGGCATTACAATGTGCTGAAGCAGTTGAGTATCTACACAATATAAAGCCAATGCCTATCATACACAGAGATCTAAAGCCACTAAAGTATGTTTTATTTTGTGTTTCATATTTGAATGGCATAATTTTTTTTAGGGAGATAATTTTTTTAGGGAGTTTTTTGTGTTGATTTTTGTACCTCACAGAGATATTGGCATACCCAGGGCTACTTAGAGGGGGGGAGGGTGGCTACTGGGTACATTTTACCTATGCGCACAGACAAAGGGGGCACATGAAACCCTCAATGAAAGATTCTATTAAAATTTTTAATAATCATGAAGAGTATTACTCCTTGGTGAAATTTAAAACAGAATCTAAAGACTCTTATTACAATTAAAATTTATAACAACAGACTTCAAATATTTATTATTCTAAATATAATTCAAAATAAAAAGAAAAGAAAAAAATGTTGTTATTATCACTAAATGAATATATCTTATTAACAATAATATAGAAATGTGTATGCATTAACATATAAGTATGTTTATGTTTAAAAAATTTAAAAAAATATTGACTTTTTTTTTTTGTAAGATATTTTATAAGATTTTTAGAATTTTATAACATGAAATGAAATTAAAATTTGGGTTAAGTTGAATAAAACTTTCACAATTTCTATTTTTTCTGCATAGAAAGATTGCAATGGCTCCAATTTAAATGTAGTTAAAATTTGAATTATATAACATTTATCATTAAGGCTTGTTTAAAAACATTATCAATGTTATGTTATATAAATCAGTTAAGTTGCTCTCATTCCAATTAAAATTTATAACAACAGACTTCAAGTATTCTTTCTCTATTCATTCATTCCAATTAATTCTAATTGGAATGAATGAATAGAGATGAATAATAATTGATATTGTAAAATTGCATTTAATTCTTTTTCTCTTTAATTCTTTTGAGAATTACGTTCTATATAAAAAGTTCATTTCAATTTTGAAACAAATGAAAAAAAAAATTATTTTATTTAAAAATAAGTAACACACATTTTAGAGTAATAACGTCATGTCAAGTTTTCAAAAGCATGATTAAGGGTCTGAAGGCAGAAAAAAAGCTGTAGAAAAAGTTGTAAAAGAACACAAGAACAAATGTACACTGGAAGAGTGTGGCTTCAATAAAGGCATCTAATAACTTTCCTTCCAACCAAGTTGTCAAGGTGTAGGTTAACAGCTTTATTTTTTTATTCACAATATTATATATATCTTATATTCATAATTTCATTCCAAAACTGTTAAAATTATTTTTTAAACAGATCATGCTACCAACAGTGTTGATGGACACTTGAATCCAAGAAATTTTTTAACGGTTTCTGAAGAAGATGATAATTGGGTGAGTTTGGGACGCATTCTTTTTTATATGAAAAACCTGCAGATACAAAACAGATTCTAAAAAAATATCATTTAATATCTACAAATATTAAAAACATATTATAGAAGAGAGTTTTATCCAAAGATGAACACAATCTAGTGATACTAAATGGACCACCTCAAAATCCGGCACTTTTTCCTAGAGATTCTACAAATAAAAAACTTGACGGAGAGAAGATTAACAGAGACTGGTTTATCTGGAGTGGAACTGCAAAAGGTTTCGTTGTTTTCCCTGCTCTATTTTTGAACAAAAGCATAATTTTGGCCCTGGATTTTAGTATTTCCACTTGATGTGGAAGTGCAGAATAAAAGATAATTGGCAAAAGCTAAAAAAAAAGATTAAAAGCTACCAGTGTCAACACAGAAACCACTACATCGTCTGGAAATCAGCCTTTAAAGCCTTGTAAAATTAAAGCAGGATTGATTCAGAACTTGAAAAGTCAATAAAAAATGAGGCATCTAAGTAGTATGAATTTTTAAAATGCATCCTTGTTGTCACTATCCATTTAGTTTTAAGAATTCTAAGTGTTGGAGGTGTGTTAACAGTTTATGTTTATTTTAATTTAATGTTGCTTGGATTATTAATCTAGATGTAATCATTATTTCCATATTATGTTCATATTTGTGTAGATTCATCAAACGAGTATGATAATGGTAATTTTTTCGCCACCCTTGAGTTGTTGGGGAAACACAATAATACACTTCAGTTCCATCTAGAAGAAGTTTCTCGACACCAAAAACAAAGAACAAGAATGCAAGCACACTATTTGAGCTGGAGAACTCAAAATGAGTTCATTATGGCATGTGGTGAAACAGTTTTCGCTGCTATTATCAAAGAGGTCCACACAGCCATTTATTTTTCCATTATTGTTGATGGAACTTCGGGCGTGTTTTATACGGAACAAATCACTTTACTTTGAACAAATCAAAGCTGAATTGATTTAAAGAACTGTAGGGGTTAAGGCTATGATAACGGGGTTAATATGTCTGGTGTATACAAAAGAGTACATGCCATCATTCTCGAGAAAAATCCTTAAGCTTTGTTCATGCCTTGCAGTGCGCTTAGTTTCAATCTAGCTGGCGTTCATTCTCCACAATCCTCTACTGTAGTAAGTACTATTTTGGCAACATCCAATCATTGTTTGATCACAAGGCTCGCCTATGTGTCAACAATGTCATCAAGTCATGTCAAATCCTCCAAGAAGTGAAACTGGTTAGCTTATGTTAGCTTTGTTTGGGTTAACAAAATGATTTTGTTAAGAAGAAGACAACAAAAAGGAAAACACTTCACAGCAAGTTGATGAACACAGCCCACTTCCACGAAGACGAATTCAAAGATGAAAAAAAGGATTTTAAGATGGATGTTTTTAATGTTGCTTTTGACAAGATACAGAATGGATACAGCTCAAAAGACGATGGATATATTTTTGTTCATATTGTGTTCTCCATTTCCTAGTGATGAAGAAAAACATTTTCAGAAAGAAAAATGCAAAGTCCTGGCAAATCTTTATGTAAATAATGTAAAAGAAGAGGAGTTGATTGAAGAAATCATCTAGATGCTCTGAAGCGATCAAATACTTTTGGACTAATAGAATCTCTTTCTTCTATCAAGTTGCTCAACAAAATACACCAGAAAGGTCTTCAGTCAATATTTCCTTCAACCTGCATTTTGCTTCACATTTTTAATACAATCCTGAAGAAGGATAGCGCTGAAAGATAGCTCTCTTCTAGTAAGCTTGCTCTCATCAAATCCAAATTGCGATTAGAGGGTATTAATTCCCAACATTTTTTTGATCCTGCGAAGCTGGAAATTTAAAAATAATTTCCCGGATTCCCGGCAATAAATCCTTTCTAAAACAAATATATAAACACGAGGCTAACTTTTAATAAGAAAATGACATTCATTTTTAAAATGTTATCTTATTTCAAAATTGTATATACAAAATTTGCATATGTATGCATTAGGGTGGAGTGATTTTAAAAGATTTTGATACCTCTTTGGATTCTAAATTCTTGACGGGTCCTATTTCAAATTATTTGTATTATTTCCATTATTCTCATACATTTGAAATTCTTTTTTGAGGTCTATGTCAGAATCTTTAGTTATAACACACTTTTTAGGTTTATATGCTGCATTTAAAGCTATTACCAAACTGTCTTTAATATTTGTAACTGTTAAGCAATTATTTTCTTTAGAGGATTCACTTTCAATTCCAATATTGACATCACTGAATAATCTATTAAATAAGTCATTTGCATAACGAATAATTGCAGCTTTTGAAGATCGAGGTAGCTCACAAGTTGAATATAAATCGCGCATTTGGAAGTATTTAATCGAAGGCACAAGATCTTGATTTCTTTGCTCTTTAACACAAAGAGACTAGCAACATCTCCCACAGAGCTAGCAACATCTCCTCTGAAATTGCATTATTGTTGTTAAGCAGGGAATCAAACAAAAAATTTAAAATAGCATCAGCTGTTAACAAATTTGCATCACATTCGTCTAATGCTTCTGCAGCTATTTTGATTAGTTGAAGGGCATTGGAAACATTTTTTAAAACTGAGACGTAAATATCGTTAAATAGTTCTAGGGAGTTCAACTCATTTAATGCTTTTTTTACTGCGTCCATCACTTTTAAAAATCTTTCAATCATTGTCACAATGCTATTCCATCTGGTCCGGCAATCTAGCAGTAAATTGAGTTCAATTCTGTGCTCCATTTTTACATAGTCTTGTAAAATAATTTTTTTTTTAGCTGAATGTTTAAAAAACTGCTTTTTTTAGCTCAATGTTTAAAAAACTGCTTTTCTAATCATTTGTAAAGCCACATTTATATATTCTCGTTTACATATTTGCGGTTCAAAATCGTTTAGATTATCATTTTCAGATTCACTAGAGTTATCACTGGAAAATCTAGATTCATTTTTTAAAGAATCAATGTGATGAACATTAGAATTTTTAGAATTTCTTTTTTAAATAACATCCATTACAGCAATGTGTATGTTGTGGTTATAACATATTTGGTGTATAAAACCAGATAGTCTACCAAATTTGATCATTACTGCAGCAGCATAAGTGGTTGATGCAACAACATCTGAAGAGATAATTGCAAACTCTGATAGTTTCTCTTTAACTAGGTCTATTGTTACTTCAGCTGTACAGCTTCCATGAATTTTAACCAGTCCTAGATTAATAAATAACTTCTTGAATATTGATATTCAGATATCTTTGATTGCGTAGACTTGTCCATTCATTAAATGTTAGACTAAATTTTTCACCTTTTTCTTTAAGTGATTTTATTTTAACAATAAATTCATTTTTTGCCATAGCACAATATTCATGAATTAGTTTCATCACATTGTTTTTCCCTTTTGGAAAATGATATTGTTTTTCACTTAATGCTTGACTAATGAACTCACTTTTGCATATTCTGTGAATTGAAAATCCATCAGCGGCCGGAAGTCTGGCCACTATCTCTGCTAAGGACTGTTTCTTAAAAAAAATGATACGAGAGACTTACTCGCTTTTGCAAAGATTGTCTCACAGTTACTTGAACCAGTAATCTGATCGTCATTTAGGTTTCTTTTCTTGATATTAATATTATGAACATGTTGCTAATGTCTTATTAATCCACTGGTTGAAGAGCCCTTATAACTTAAAATTTATGTGGACATTTCAAACACTTGGTTTGTTCGCCTGCTTTTTCTTTTGAAAAATATTTCCACACTGAATCATCCAAGGTTAAAACAATGTTTTGGCGTTCTAAATTAAAAATATTAGAACAAAGAAAATAGAAAGAATATTTTGAAACTTACTTAACTTGGCAATTTGTGGAGAACTGAATGTTATTCAAAATTTCTTGAATAATAAATTTAATTAAAGATTTTAAAGAGTAACTAGTGTAGTGTGAAATTTATGCATTTGTTTAGAATCACATTTTACAAGCATTTTACTGGGGGGCATTTAGCGTTTTGTATTAGAAATAATGACTTTTATGCTTGCTTTGAATCACCTTTAATTAAAAAAAATTATGATTTAATTTTTACATTTTTCAACATTATAGATGACTTCTTAAGTCAGATTATACACATTAGATAGCTTTATGGACATTAACATATTTTTATTTTGAATAAATTATTATCCTAATATGATAAATATATACACAAGTAATTCTTTGATTTTAATTTTTTCCTGGGAAATTATGGTAATTTTCCCAGGTAACAGGATATATGAAGTATAAAATATCTCTAATTATGATCAAACCTGACTGAAGAATGCCTTACTAACCTTATGGTGATTTCAATTGAAAATGACCTAGCCGAGATTTTGTCATACGAAAATGTCATCATAAAGTGAAATCAGTGTGATCTGACTAGTCAACATAATTAAATTTTTCATTGATGAAGTATTTAATTTCATTCATTTTAAATTGTATTTGTATTTTTGTTTAATCATATATAACTAAGTTCAAATATAGAGTGTTAATGTGCAGAGATTCATTTTGTTATTTTTATATTAGGAAACACCCTCAGGCCTCACCTTAGAGAACACCCTTACATTACACGTCAGAGAACACCCTCAGATTATATCTCAGATTACAACTTTTCTTTTTTTACTCTATTGGCAAAGCTGGTGCTTAGTAGAGAATTGAGTTTGTCAAAATTATTAATAAATGCAAAAATGGAACTGATTATACTTTTTTTAATTATAAAATTTTCGTAAATAATACGATTTAATTGTTTATTTGTGGAAAAATTTGTTATGGCCATACGACCAAAATTAAGTTTTACACAAGCACATACATTATGTGACACAAACACTGAGTGACATTATATGACACAAGCACTGAGTGACATTATGTGACACAAACACTGAATGACATTATGCGACATATACACACTGAGGCTTTTTGTTATTTGTTTACTATTATTGTTTCTATGATTTTTTTCTGTGGCATACATGCATAGTTATGTGTTGCATTGTTTATGTCACATGTTTATGTATGGTATTATTTTTTTGCACATTTTTGTTTTGTATTTCTGTGGCACAGTTTTTTGTTACATTACTTTTGTATTTTACCCAAGCACATAGATTATGTGACACAAACACTGAGCGACATTACGCGACATACGCACACTGAGCCTTTTTGTTATTCATTTACTATTATTGTCACTATGATCAAAAATAAAGTAAATTTTTTTTTTTATCTAGTGATTTTTTAGATTACATTCCTATAATTTAGTATGTTGTTAAAGCAATCTGGGACTGTTTTAAAAATATGTGATTTTGGTACAGCATGTCACCCTCATTCAGAAATGACTGCTAACAAAGGAAGTGCATCGTGGATGGCACCACAAGTAATTACAGGTCTTTTAAATAATACTATATAAAAAATTTAAAACTTTCAGTTTTTTTTTTGTTATAATCTTTATTTAACATAAGTTGTTTATAATTGAATAAAGTTTAATGCTTATTTTATTCAGCTTTTGAGAAAGTACTGTAGTTGTAAAACCCTTAAATTATTTTAACTTAAACTAATTTAAACTAAAAACTTTTTAATCTATTTTAAACAAGTTTAGATACTGTTGTTACTACAACAACAGCATTTCCTTTTGAATTTTTGTAATTTTCACTTACTAAACTTTACTTTTTATTCGTACTCTCCAAACTCTTCTTTAATTGAAGACAACTTAAGTTATCACACATCTTATCTCTAAGATCATGTTCTTGTAGAACCTATTTTTAGAGTTAGGCTTTAAACCTTTTTAAACCTTTTTAAACAATTTCTTTATTTTAATTCCCTTTAACTACATTATAGAAAATTATAAGTTTATAATTATATATTTATAAATTATTAATTTATGTATCTATAAATTTATTAACATTATAGAAAATAGATAAATTGTTAAAGTTGTTGCCACTTAAAATTAAACAAAACTTTTTAAATACTAAACATTCCCTACTCAGTAAATAAATTTTAAACGAAATTGTTAACTATGCAGTTATAGTAATAACAAATAAAATTTAAAGTACTGTTTGAATACTTCTAAAACTAAAAAAAAAATAAAACAAAGCTGTATGTGGACTAATTGATTGCCCTAAAATTACTTAGAGTTAAAATAAGTATAAATAGTTGATAGGTTTATTATAATTGTATATAATATTAAAGTTGTATGTGTTGATTTTAATATACTTGTATATAATATCATAGGAGAAAAGTATTCTGAGAAATGTGATGTATATAGGTAAAGTTGTGTATTTTTTATTAAAAATTTTAATATATATTTATTTTAATTTAATATTTATTACAATAAACTCTTAACAACTAAAACCTTCAAAGGACAAAGAAAAATGGTTCAAGAATACACCAATTTAAAAACACTTTTAATTACTGGAAGTTAGAGATATCAAGAGTTTTATATGTTAAGTTTACAACAGTTTTTAACTATAACAATTCTTGTTTATTTATTGTAAACTTTTGTTATATATGATGTCTAAAATTATACCTCGAAGGAGATTTTTGTTATGCATTATTGTTATTTAATTTTAGTACCATTTTTAATTTTCATGTTTCTATATTTTATTCCATTTTATGTTTTTTTTTTTGTCCCTCTGATACACAAATTTGTTTTGTAATATATTAGAAAATCATAAGCAATGAAATTAATGTTTAAATAGTTAATAAATATGATTGTTTCCTAAACATTTATCCCATCTGTGCATCTGTTTGTTACATTTTGAAGATTTTACTTCAAAATGATCCATTACTTTAAAAAAATGAGAGGGTCAAAGAAACTACAGTGGTGTGCAAGAAACATCATCAATAATGTCATATTGAAATAGGAATGGATAAGAACTTCATCACATGCAACAACTGAGAGTTAAGACTTGGGCAGGTAGTATCTAGACATAAAAGTGATCTTACACATCAATAGAAATCTTTTTTTATTTAAATCACCTCCAAAAATGATCATTCTTATTCAAAGGTGAAAAATCATAATTGTTACAGTACCAAATATATCATGTATTTTAGTAATTGTGCCCAGATATTTTGGGAGATGTATTAACTTAGTAGCAGTAATTTTTTTTACTAGTAGTAATTTTTTGTTCATTTTTTTCATTGATAATAGTAGGTATTCAGAGCTTGCATTTGTAATACTAACTGTATCATGCATTTTAGTAAAATGTATCATATTTTTTTAATATATTAATTCTGTTAAGATTATTTTTTACATTTTTCATCACTACATTAAGACTTACCTGATTCCTAATTGATATCCTTAACAGAATTATCACTGAAAAATCTCCAGTCTTATCATATTTAGGTAATGCACACACCTGAGGCAATTTAATTTGTGAAGAATATTCATATTTGCTATCATTTATCTTCTAAATATTCAAAATAACACAGAACAAAGTTGTAGCCCTTTTTGATAAAAAAAATTTCAGGGTAGGTTTTCAGTTTGTTATTTAAGTTTTCACTCAAGATTGTTAATTGTTAACATTTTTTAAATTCAGGTTGTTAAAATTTTATAAATTAAGATTATTTATTATATTAGTTATTATATAAGTTATTATTTAAGTTATTTATTATTTTTAAGTTATTATATAAGTTTTAAGCCTCTAGAACATATACTCTAGAAAATAAAAATAAAACTTAAAGCTTGAACTGTATATATATATATATATATATATATATATATATATATATATATATATATATATATATATATATATATATATATATATATATATATATATATATATATATATATATATATATATTTAATAATTTTTAAAATGTAGACATTATTCCAGATATCAAAAAATAATGAAAAATAATTTGTTCAAAATTTTTGCCAAAAGCCTTCATCTCATTATTATACATGCTCAAACTTATACCCTAAAATAACATTGTTAATATATTACCGTCAATATTCTATATTCAATTTTATATATATAAATGTATATATATATATATATATATATATATATATATATATATATATATATATATATATATATATATATATATATATATATATATATATATATATATATATATATGTATATATATATATATATATATATATATATATATATAATTTTCAGACTTTTTTGCCCCTCCCTTTTTTTTAACTAGATTTTTTTAGATAATTTTTTTAAGCTTTGGGATCATACTTTGGCAGATGTTAACAAGAAAAAAACCATTTGAAGGAATTCCATATTATATCATGTGGAGCGTGAGTAAAGGTAAAAATCAGTAATAGTAATAGCTGTAATAACTTCTAAAAAACTCTTTAATAATTATTTAAAAATTTTTTTTAAGGATTACGGCCTTATCCAATAAAAGGTATACCATCATGTTTAGAAGTTCTCATTCAGAGGTTGGTTTCTATAAAAATAGTTTTATGTTTTCATTTTAAAAGCTAGATAAAATAGTTTTGCATAAAATAGCTTTGTATACATTATGATTATAAAAAGTTATATTTTCATAATGATTCCTAGATGGAAAACATTAGCCCTTTAGCCATCGATAGTGTTTAGCCATTTAACATAGTGTAATGAGACTAAATTAGGCCAAAATAAATGTTTACCATATTGAGATATTTTGGTGTGATTTTCTTGAATAAATGGAACCAACTACTTAATTATGTACATGTTAAACTCATTCTTGGTCTAACATTAATTTTACTCACTGAAATAGCTAGCCAAATAAAAATTTTTGGCTTATATTAACATCATTGGTTGTCTAAATGCAATTATTTGAATAACACAAGTCATTACTAATTTGGAGCAAATTGCTTCATATTAAGTAGCTTCTGTCATTAATAATCAAATTGATATTTTGCTTTTGTAATAATGATTTAGATATTTGAAGAGCCAAAAGAGAGTTGTGTTTGGTTTACAAGATGTGAGAGTTGTGTTTAGTCTTTTATTCAAGCATAGTTTGGCCTCTCCGTGATCTTTAATACTTCTTAAATGATTTCATGGGTTAGATAAAACTTTTTTGTAGCTTTTCTTAACAAACTTGCTACTTTTATAATTTTGAAAATTGAGCTCCTTATTGGAGTATTAATTAGAGGTGTATGACCACTTTCTTTTTGTTTCTTAGAGATGTTTGACCATTTTCTTTTTGTTTCTTAGAGGTGTTTGACCACTTTCTTTTTGTTTCTTAGAGATGTTTGACCATTTTCTTTTTGTTTCTTAGAGATGTTTGACCATTTTCTTTTTGTTTCTTAGAGATGTTTGACCACTTTCTTTTTGTTTCTTAGAGGTGTTTGACCACTTTCTTTTTGTTTCTTAGAGGTGTTTGACCACTTTCTTTTTGTTTCTTAAGTGGTTTTTCCAATTCTTGAGATCAAAAATGCATATAAACAGTTGATTTGGAGCAATCTTTTCCAAGTGGTTTGCCAATTATGAGTAAAAAAACTAACTTATATATCAATTAATATATGGTGGTTAAATTTTATTTTTTTGTTTTTAAGTATCACTTGAATAGTTCATTTTTAATGAGCAATTTTGTTTTTATGAGTTGCTTCATATATTTAATTAAAAAGATAGTTTTCCCATAAAATTGCATTTTGTTAAAGATTTTTGTTTCTTTATAATCAATAACTTTTTAAATTTGTTTTTGATTTAATTATTTCTTATCATTAATTATTTGTTGTTTTTTAAGTTACTTAAGTTTTTTGTTTAAGTTGGTACATAAAAGCAAAGTTGCTCATACCATATTTTGAAAATAAACTTTTCATATGTATAACAAAATATAACAGATACATAAATAATACATAAACAAGTAAAAAAGAAATTTAATGAAAAACTTTGAAAAACAGAATATTAGATTTTGGAAATAGGAAGAGAAGATAATGTGCACTATACATTTTATGTTGGACATTTTTAGATCATTTTTATTAAAAACTTAATTTTCTAATAATTTTGTTCTTTACCTTATATATCTCATATGCCTTTGTATTGTATACTGTTGTCCTATCTGGGCTGAATATTTTAATAATGTTTTTCCTTTTTTTTGACAAAGTGCAAAAATGTATCATAAATGTGATTTCCGCAACAAGTAATGCAAGTAGAATGTTGGGTCATGTGAATAATGTTTTTTCCATATAGAGTTGCCAAATACTAAAATCACTTAAAGTGACTTTTATCTGTCGTCTTCAAGAGTTTTTATTACCAGTTTGGTCCCCATTCTTAAAAAGTGACTGTAAAAAATTGAAAGAGTGTAGTATTGACCTACCAAACTGGTTAAATCAATATATAGATTAAGTTATGAAGAGCGTTTAAAAGTTCTAGGATTGAAAACTCTGGCTGAACAGAGAAAAAAGGGGGATATGATCTAGCTATATAAAATAATGAGCAAAATAAATGAAAGAAAAAACAACATAGAGATTGTTAAAAATCAAGTTAGCAATAACTTTGTTAAAAAACAAGTTAGCAATTTCAAATATTACAGAGAAACAACAAAAATTCATTAAAACAATTTTTTTTACAACAGATCTTCAAAATGGGATTCAATGCCTTAAAACTTCTGGAGTTGTCCTCGGTTAACTCTTTTAAAGCAAGATTCATTTGTTGGACAAACAACAATCGATTGATTAAGCTGTTACAGTATTCTTAAAGGCATACTTACTGGCTTACCAAATCAGTTACAACAAAACTTACTAATTAATTTTTTTTTTAGTGTATTCTTTGCTGAGATTTTATTAAATTTTAAATAAGCTTGTCTTTTTTTTTAATGATATATCTTTCCTGAATGATTAAGTTTTTAAATAGCCTGTGTATTTCAGCTTATAATCAAGAGATTTGAGGTTGGATTTGAACCTCGAATATCTTGGTTATGAATTGAAGGTTTTACCACTAGTCTACTATTGTATTTAATTATTTATTTTATTATAATAATAATTTCTCATTTCAGATTGTTTTTGTGGTTAAGTATTTTATTCTTTTTTTTTAGGTGTTGGCAGAATGAAGAAAAAGATCGACCGGCTTTTGTTGATATTGTGAAGTTTTTGCGTAAAGCTAACTTGGTATGTAATTTTATGTAGATTGGTCTGTTATGCATTTTGGTTTTGTTAAATGTTATGCAGGAATAATCAGGGAATCTAGAAATACGAATCAGTACTTAATGGCTCCTACATAAAGTTTACAAATTAGTTTACTTGACAAATAAGCATTTAGAAATCAAAAATTGTCTATTGAGAAATGTTTACTTGTTTCTCAGAACTTACAAATCAGAAAAATCAGAACTTTTCAATCTCAGAAAAATACAAGTTGCCTAAAGCATATTGTTATTCTTTTTAAACCATTTTTTTATTTGATTGTTTTTATTTTTTAAATCTAATGATTACTTTATTACATGCACTATAATTATTTAGACCATTTCTACATCTTAGTTATTACTATTCTTTAAAAATCATTTTCTGATTTTTTCGATTGTTAGAGGATAATTTTTATTATTGATATACACATTTTTTTCAACACTATTGCATTCTCTGCTTTGAATTTTTTTTGAGTTATACAAGGCAACATGAAATTTTTGTTTCGTTTCAGATTTTTTGATCCAGACAACCCCTTAATTGAATGCTCGGCTGGTAAATCATTTATATTTTTTTAGCCATTGAACAAAATAAAAATATACAAATGTATGTCGCTTGCTCCATGTTTAACTTATGCTACACTTGCAATAACATTATCACTCTTTTATTTAAACTCTTAAGTTATTAACAACTTTGTATAAATGTGCTGAATTGAAGAGTTGAAGCTTAAAAATATTTAGTCTTACAAAAAGAAAGCATTAATAAATGAACATTATTGAATTTTGTTTTGTCAGCTGAAAAATTGTATATGGTTCCAGTTTTCTATCTGAAGATTGTTTTGACAATTAATTAAAAGAAATAACATCAATCTCAATATCAATTAATAGAAATAACATCAATCTCAATATCAATTAATAGAAATAACATCAATCTCAATATCAATTAATAGAAATAACATCAATCTCAATATCAATTAATAGAAATAACATCAATAGAAATATCAATTAATAGAAATAACATCAATAGAAATATCAATTAATAGAAATAGCATCAATAGAAATATCAATTAATAGAAATAACATCAATAGAAATATCAATTAATAGAAATAACATCAATAGAAATATCAATTAATAGAAATAACATCAATAGAAATATCAATTAATAGAAATAACATCAATAGAAATATCAATTAATAGAAATAACATCAATAGAAATATCAATTAATAGAAATAACATCAATAGAAATATCAATTAATAGAAATAACATCAATAGAAATATCAATTAATAGAAATAACATCAATAAAAATATCAATTAATAGAAATAATATCAATAGAAGTATCAATTAATAGAAATAACATCAATCTCAATATCAATTAATAGAAATAACATCAATCTCAATATCAATTAATAGAAATAACATCAATAGAAATATCAATCAATAGAAATAACATCAATAGAAATATCAATTAATAGAAATAACATCAATATAAATATCAATTAATAGAAATAACATCAATAGAAATATCAATTAATAGAAATAACATCAATAGAAATATCAATTAATAGAAATAACATCAATAGAAATATCAATTAATAGAAATAATATCAATAGAAATATCAATTAATAGAAATAACATCAATAGAAATATCAATTAATAGAAATAACATCAATAGAAATATCAATTAATAGAAATAATATCAATAGAAATATCAATTAATAGAAATAACATCAATCTCAATATCAATTAATAGAAATAACATCAATAGAAATATCAATCAATAGAAATAACATCAATAGAAATATCAATTAATAGAAATAACATCAATAGAAATATCAATTAATAGAAATAACATCAATAGAAATATCAATTAATAGAAATAACATCAATAGAAATATCAATTAATAGAAATTACATCAATCTCAATATCAATTGATAGAAATAACATCAATAGAAATATCAATTAATAGAAATAATATCAATAGAAATATCAATTAATAGAAATAACATCAATCTCAATATCAATTAATAGAAATAACATCAATCTCAATATCAATTGATAGAAATAACAACAATAGAAATATCAATTAATAGAAATAATATCAATAGAAATATCAATTAATAGAAATAACATCAATCTAAATATCAATTAATAGAAATAACATAAATCTCAATATCAATTAATAGAAATAACATCAATAGAAATATCAATTAATAGAAATAACATCAATAGAAATATCAATTAATAGAAATAACATCAATAGAAATATCAATTAATAGAAATAACATCAATAGAAATATCAATTAATAGAAATAATATCAATAGAAATATCAATTAATAGAAATAATATCAATAGAAATATCAATTAATAGAAATAACATCAATAGAAATATCAATTAATAGAAATAACATCAATAGAAATATCAATTAATAGAAATTACATCAATCTCAATATCAATTGATAGAAATAACATCAATAGAAATATCAATTAATAGAAATAATATCAATAGAAATATCAATTAATAGAAATAACATCAATCTCAATATCAATTAATAGAAATAACATCAATCTCAATATCAATTGATAGAAATAACAACAATAGAAATATCAATTAATAGAAATAATATCAATAGAAATATCAATTAATAGAAATAACATCAATCTAAATATCAATTAATAGAAATAACATAAATCTCAATATCAATTAATAGAAATAACATCAATAGAAATATCAATTAATAGAAATAACATCAATAGAAATATCAATTAATAGAAATAACATCAATAGAAATATCAATTAATAGAAATAACATCAATAGAAATATCAATTAATAGAAATAATATCAATAGAAATATCAATTAATAGAAATAATATCAATAGAAATATCAATTAATAGAAATAACATCAATAGAAATATCAATTAATAGAAATAACATCAATAGAAATATCAATTAATAGAAATAATATCAATAGAAATATCAATTAATAGAAATAACATCAATCTCAATATCAATTAATAGAAATAACATCAATAGAAATATCAATTAATAGAAATAACATCAATAGAAATATCAATTAATAGAAATAACATCAATCTCAATATCAATTAATAGAAATAACATCAATAGAAATATCAATTAATAGAAATCCCAGCCGGCAAATAACGTTGAAATAACGCTGAAATATCGTTGAAACCTAACGTTGAATTAACGTTGGTTTAACGTTTAGAATGAAAGTTTTTTTCAACGTTGATTTATCAACGTTAAACCAACGTTAGGTTCAAACGTTATATCAACGTTGATTCGACGCGAAAAAACGTTACAATAACGTTGAATTTACGTTGATTTAACGTTTAGAATGAAAGTTTTTTTCAACGTTGATTTATCAACGTTAAACCAACGTTAGGTTCAAACGTTATATCAACGTTGATTCGACGCGAAAAAACGTTACAATAACGTTGAATTTACGTTGATTTAACGTTTAGAATGAAAGTTTTTTTCAACGTTGATTTATCAACGTTAAACCAACGTTAGGTTCAAACGTTATATCAACGTTGATTCGACGCGAAAAAACGTTACAACAACGTTGAATTTACGTTGATCAACGTTAAAAAAACTATCATTTTAAACGTTGTTTAAAATGATAGTTTTTTTAACGTTGATTTATCAACGTTAAACGACTGTAAAACACTTTTTCATCATCAAAACGTGCTATGTATGTCAAAATGTATATATGTACGTAAACGTGCTATGTACATCAAAATATTATCACCATCAAAACGTACTATGCATGTACATTAGTGTTGCTGTACATTATCAAGGTATATTATGGATATTAAATCTATTCATAGTCTATACTTAGACTATTTAGAACTTTTTCAGTTTAGTTTAGTTAAAATAGCTAGGTATGATTAAAGAAAGAGATAAAACTTGTTTTATTCAAAAATACATATTCAACTATTACAGATATTTACATGTAATTGAATAAAATCTACACAAATTTCTTCTCTTTTCCACCACCTTTTTGAAATAAAGCGTAATTTAGAAAGTCAAACAATGTTCCATTAACCGAGGGTTCTTTTGGTCCATTGAGTACAATATAAGAAGCTGTAAATAAAAAAATATATTAAAAACAAAACAAAAAGGGAAGATTTAAAAAATAAATAATGAATGGAAAAGTGTTACAACTTATGAAGGTATATCTTTTTCAACGCCATATAGATTAGTGTTCTTAAAGCATATTTTTCCACCTTTGCCCTTCATATCCATGGAGGCCATATAACTTTTCAAAAATACTCTGAATTTTTAAAAAATAATATAACTGTTAGATGGTTATTAATAACTTTTTCAAATATTTAATTTAAATAAAACAACCTTTTTAATGTATTAAAAATTAATTAATAATCAAAATATAAAACATTTCTAGCATTGAAAAATAATTTTCAGGGTGGCCACATAAAATTTTTATAAGAAATTTTATGTGGCCATTGATTAATGGTTTAACTTCCATGTTTATACACTTATGGGGCATGGACAGGGATCAAATAATGTCATTTGTTATGTTAAATAGCATGCATTTTCTAAAGCAATTTTTTACAACTCCATGCACTTTAAGGCGTTAACCAGTTTGGCAGACCGAGAATGGGTATTTTGAACATTATACATCCATCAAAAATTAAAAAAGGAAGAATTAATGAGGAGCTTTGATCAAATTTTTACCTCTTTAGAGGATAATAGAGAATTTTAGAAGTGGTTTTAAAAAAAGAGAACTTTAGAGGATTTTAGAGGAGCTGCAGACACCCTGATTATAAATGAGGTAACTCCAACAATTAACTGTAATTGTTTATCTGTAAAAAAAAATGAAGTAAATCTAATATTAAGCTTGTGGAGATATATTATATTGTGGAGAACCATCCAAACCACACAAGTGGAAAATTTGCATCCAAGTTTCCACTTGTGTGCAAATCTTGCTTCCACTTGTCAACA